GATGGAGGTTATATTTTATAGTTTTATTTTTTTTTTAAGAAACAAAATGGCACAATTGGATACCTGCAAAATACTATCTCAGTAGATAAAATTGTTACTGATATGCTATACTGCATTGTGGTGTAAAACAAATAAGTGGAATTGATATAAGCTATCTGTTTTAGCTTTGGTTTCTTGGCTTATCAGTTAGTAAATGTTGCAATTTATAGCCAGTGGAAAGTCCCAGAGATTCAGCAGTGAAACAGAAAGTGCCAAACTAAAAGTAAAAACAGGAAGTCTAATGCGCTAGACAGGGGAAAATCCTATGAATCCAATCTCTGAGTGTGCGTTTGGCAACACATCTGTATCTACTCGGCTGTAAAATTGGGAGCAGCGGCTGTGTCCCAGATGACATGAATGGAACTGCTTACACATGAATGCACAGGACACCTGAATATCCCATGCAGGCAAAACAGGGCCCTCACACGGGTGTATGCCTAAAGTTTTGCTAAACCCACAACAGTAAAATCAGTCTGTATATGCAGTAAAGCATGCTTGTTATACTCACTGTGGAACCTAAGGAGTTAATCCGCATTGTGTAAAAAGGATGTTTGATCCTGTCTTCTCTGATCCTCCCCTTCTTCTACTGCCCCCAATCCATCTTCTGATAGTACAGAGTTTTTGGAGGCACTCTTCACATGCTCAGTTTGGTACATAATGGTAGAGAGGTTTTGTTTGTTTTGTTTTCTGGGGGGGGGCGGGGTGTATGTGATCTACACAGTCCAAACCGTGGGTCAGGGGTCATGCAGCCTCATAGGACAGTCAGAGAAGAATGAAAACTCCTCTTACAAGCTTTAACCAGTGTTCGGCAGGACACTGATAGGAGTCCCAAGACTGCTATATACTGCTGATGAGAAAAGGTATCTAGCAGTTTATATTTACTTAAATAATTGCATTTCCATGTTCTATGTACTGTGGAAGACCGGATATAGTGAATGCAGGGTCCTGGGTTTAGTAACACCTTAAGTGCACCCATGTGAATGAAGTCCTAAAGTGTGTGTAAACTCGTAATCTACTTTTAATATGGTTCATTTGTTGTTGGTGTTGCAAAGTCTAGTTACCTGCCAGAAACAATGAAACTGGCCGTTCACTAATAGAACTTTGTTATTTTTTTTTATTTTGTTTCATTTCCCTATCATTAATGGTTTTAATTTTAATGTTTGTTTACAACCACAGAGAAAATTCAAAGAGCAGGATGGAAAAATTTTTTAACAGCAAACATGGTGTTCTTTCAGGAAAGTCCATCATTCCAAACTCAAATGTTAAAAGCAAACAACATTTTTAGGAACTTTGGAACCACGTTTGTCAAGACATTGAGTGTACTGAGAATTTTTGTCCGATTGTTCATATGAATATCTACTAGTGTATGACCAGCTTTACTGTGTCTGGCTGACAATGCAAAGCTGTTACTTTGCAGTTGGCATCAGTGTTGTCAGACTGGCAGGCTGACAACACTTCTGCTAATTATCAGGCAGTGGCTTAGCCTTGTCAGCCTATATCAGGAAGTGCTGTTACTGGCATGATTTCAAGACCAGTAACTCCGCAATAGATTCACAAAACATTGTTTGCTCATAAAACTGCATACAGTGAGGCATGATAACTGACATACTGAAAAATTTGATTTTGGACTTGCATACACTTTAACCTCAAGGTAATGTCACACTGAAGGCCTCTCCTTCACCACCATAGAAATCGAAGTCCTTGTTTTTTTTTTCCACAATAACATTTGGCTGGATCCACAATTATGCATTCTGGTAAGGTGTACTGCAGTGCCATTTATTCTTTATGGCTTCCCAGCTCGCCTACAGTGCAGCATATCACTGCATAGTAGCACACTACCATATGCTGCATTATAAAATTAGTGCATGCACCTTTTAGTGTGTTAGGAAGGCAATTCAAATGAATGAGCTGCCTTAACAAAATGCACATGAATTCATTGTTACATTACAAAAAATATGTGCCCTTTTTTTTGTCACCTTAGGTAGACCACTTGCCAACCGCAGATAGATGAATGACGGCTTCACTGCGGCCGGCCAGTTGTGGGTGGCGTCCTATGATGTCCTCCCAGAACGTGCTCTCCTGCGTGCCCCGGCGGTCTCCGTGATCGCTGTGTCCTATGGATACAGCTGATCACGTGGTATGGTAAAAGGCCAATCACAGCGGCCTTTTACCACGTGTTCAGCCGTGTCCAATGACACACTGATCACTGGGAAATGCAATTACCGGTTATCGACTGCAATTTCCTCACGCTGTGAGGGCGTGAGGAAAGTACTGCAGAGAACCGGCAGTTTTCAGAGGAGGGGTCGGCACCAATCATCAGGGCACTGATGACTAGTGCACTGATGATCGGTGCCCAGCAGTGCCACCCACCTGTGCCCAGCAGTGCCGCCAGGCAGTGCCAGCTCATTAGTGCCGCCTATCAGTACAGCCTCATCAACACACATCAGTGAAGGAGAAAAATTACTCAATTGCAAAATTTTATAATAGAAACAAAGAAAAACCTTTTTTTAATTTTTTGCTTTTTTTTGTTTCCAGCACAAAAAATAGAACGCCCAGCGGCGAGTAAATGCCACCAAAAGAAAGCTCTATATTTGTGTGAAAAAAAAATTATAAAAATTTCTTATGGGTACAGCATTGCATAACCGCGCAATTGTCTTTCAAAGTGCGACAGCACTGAAAGCTGAAAATTGACCTGGGCAGGAAGGGGGTATAAATACCCTTTAGGCAAGTGTTTAAACGAACCGGCTGCTTTATTACACAGTGATGGCATGAATCCAACCTTTCAAATTTCTAAAAAGATATTGCTTATTAAATATTTGTCTTCCAGTCTTTGAAAATGTCATGCCTATGATGGAGACCTTATGAGTATTATATACTGTATCTGCTTACCTTTCTGTTCGTATTTGGTTTCTATAAATAGTCCAGATTCTGAGGATTTAGATAAAGTAGAGCCTCCATGTACCGTATTTTTCGCCGTATAAGACACACTTTTTCTTCCCCAAAACTGGGGGGGAAATGTCAGTGCGTCTTATGGAGCGAATATGGAGCGGCCGGTCCGGTATTTCCACCGCGGCCGTGTCAGAATACCGGGCCGGCCGCTCAGCTCTGCAGCGGGACCTTACCTGTTCCTCTATCCAGCGGCGTGCTGTCTTCCCGGCTTCTGTAGTGTGGGCACTGGGCATGACAGCCGGGTGCAAAGTGCGCATGCGCAAGAAGCGGTGCTTTTTGTGAATGGTAAGGCGGTACCTGGGACACATGACAGATCCCAGAAGCCGCCGGACCAATCACAAAGCGCAAGTGCTTCTCGCTCATGCGCACTGGGCACCCGGCTGTCATGCCGAGCGCCATTACAGAAACCGGGAAGACAGCGCGCGGCTGGATTGAGGAACAGGTAAGATCAAACAAAAACTCTGCGGAAGTAAGAGCGGGTACCTGTCAAATTCAGGTACCCGCTCCCCACCTCCCCAAAGGTCAGCAGTCATCTGTACTGTCCGCAGTCTCTGGTCATCCCTGTGGTGCCCGCAGTCTCTGGTCATCCCTGTGCTGCCCGCAGTCTCTGGTCATCCCTGTGCTGCCCGCAGTCTCTGGTCATCCCTGTGCTGTCCGCAGTCTCTGGTCATCCCTGTGCTGTCCGCAGTCTCTGGTCATCCCTGTGCTGTCCGCAGTCTCTGGTCATCCCTGTGCTGTCCGCAGTCTCTGGTCATCCCTGTGCTGTCCGCAGTCTCTGGTCATCCCTGTGCTGTCCGCAGTCTCTGGTCATCCCTGTGCTGTCCGCAGTCTCTGGTCATCCCTGTGCTGTCCGCAGTCTCTGGTCATCCCTGTGCTGTCCGCAGTCTCTGGTCATCCCCTGTGCTGTCCGCAGTCTCTGGTCATCCCTGTGCTGTCCGCAGTCTCTGGTCATCCCCTGTACTGTGTCTGCAGTCCATTAGTTCAGAATTTTTTTTTTTTCCCTGTTTTCTGCCTCTAAAACCTAGGTGCGTCTTATGGTCAGGTGCGTCTTATACGGCGAAAAATACGGTAAGCTGTTCTGGTTGGTACCTTGAAGAAGTTGCCCTGATTTAGCTAGAAATTGGAAACCTGGAATCATAATTGATTTGATCCGGTGTAATGGCACTCTTAATATTGACGATATAAACTTAAACTTCCTAGAGTAGATAACATGTTAGCAGGAGTTTGGTTAAAGGGCTCCCTAAGTAGGTGATGTATCTAAACTAGAACAAAGAAAATTGGTCCATAAATAGAGTTGTTGCACATTAATTAGTTATTTTATCAGTGAATGAAAAAAGGCATTTGCTTCAGTTTTGATAAATCAGCCCAGCTTTCAAAGGGAATACAATTTAAACCATTAAGATGACAGAAAAACAGTATGATTATAGTTAGAGCTATGTTTATTCAGTGTCTTAAAAAGGAATCCTTACCCTAGAGGAGCCAATCAGATTTAATTTTCTGTTATTCCATTGTCATTTTCCACTTACATCCTATCTGGTTTTTATTGATTATGAGGCAAAAGAGATGGCAGTTCTTAAAAATTATTTGATAAATGAGGTAAATTTTATTAAAACTATTCTGTGATTTTACTCTGTGATTTCTCTTTGCAGCGCTCTTCTTGTCCCCTCCGCCTGGTACAATGCCAGTATTGTGAGCTAGAACTGGCTTGTAATAAGCTTGGAGAGCATGAAGAGTATTGTGGAGCTCGGACAGAGCGATGTGAGAAATGTGGATCTAGTGTCATGACCAAAGACTTAAAGGACCATCCTGCTGTGTGCGGCAAAGCAACAGAACCAAAAAAGCCAGCCAGAGCACAGAGCTATAAAGATTCTGACTATGAAGGCGCATGGTTTGACAGCGTACAATCTAGGAACACATTCACAAATGATATGTTTTCTCAAATTCCTAAACATGTGCCCAAAAGATTTTATGGGAATTCTGTTTTAACACGATCCTTTAAGACATCAAATGAGGAAGCAGAGCGAAACAAGAGGAGAGAACAGAACAGAGGTGAATTTCTTTTACCCATTGGCTTCTCATTAAATATAAGTTATGTGAACCTTCAATTTTGATTTTGATTGTGTGCATATCTATTGCCTCAGCTCTGTCATTCTTCATTATAGTGCTCATGGCAAACGAGCAGGGAAATGAAAGCATGGTTCTGTTGATGGCAGTCTTAATTGGATAATTACTTATGTTCTGTTGTCCATAAATGTTTTCCACGGCTCCTGGGGTTTGCAGAGTGCAGGCACTAACACAGGAAGAATTGACCAAGTAGCAGAGTGTTGGAACGTCTTCTAGGGATCGCTCTCCCACCAAAACGAAGTCTTCCCACTGTACCGATCAGCTCCTCAGACTCTCTCCTTACAGTTCTTGCTGCTCTCCACATGGACATTTGTCTGTGTATCTCCCAGAGCCTGTCCACTTCCTCCGTGAGGAAGATAACAGGCTCAGAGAGACATGCTGACAGTTGAGACAGCAAAAGGGGCTGTATGTGGCCTTGGGGCCGCAATTTGCTCAAGTCTGCTCTAGAAGGATCCTGATAGCTTTTAAATACACATTCTAGCCACTCATCAGAGCTGAGGTCTCCACATAACTAACTCCATGGTAGTTCAGATATCCTGTGGTGTGTTTTTGGGGTATTTGTTGTGTAATATTTTTATTGAGATTTTGAAGGCGGTAACCTGGCATCGGGTTCGCCCACGCATTGGGACAAGGTCAATTGCATGGAAAATCAAACAAACATTAAAACATAGATAATTCAACAGACAGCCCAGGAGTCTGGCTGTGTGACCCATCAGATAACTTTCAAATTACAACTACAAAACATCTCAAGGGTATACAGTCAGGTCCATAAATATTGGGACATCGACACAATTCTAACATTTTTGGCTCTATACACCACCACAATGTATTTGAAATGAACAACAAGATGTGCTTTAACTGCAGACTGTCAGCTTTAATTTGAGGGTATTTACATCCAAATCAGGTGAACGGTGTAGGAATTACAACAGTTTGCATATGTGCCTCCCATTTGGTAAGGGACCAAAAGTAATGGGACAATTGGCTTCTCAGCTGTTCCATGGCCAGGTGTGTGTTATTCCCTCATTATCCCAATTACAATGAGCAGATAAAAGGTCCAGAGTTCATTTCAAGTGTGCTATTTGCATTTGGAGTCTGTTGCTGTCAACTCTCAAGATGAGATCCATAGAGCTGTCACTATCAGTGAAGCAAGCCATCATTAGGCTGAAAAAACAAAACAAACCCATCAGAGAGATAGCAAAAACATTAGGCGTGGCCAAAACAACTGTTTGGAACATTCTTAAAAAGAAGGAACGCACCGGTGAGCTCAGCAACACCAAAAGAAGACCCGTAAGACCACGGAAAACAACTGTGGTGGATGACCGAAGAATTCTTTCCCTGGTGAAGAAAACACCCTTCACAACAGTTGGCCAGATCAAGAACACTCTCCAGGAGGTAGGTGTATGTGTGTCAAAGTCAACAATCAAGAGAAGACTTCATCAGAGTGAATACAGAGGGTTCACCACAAGATGTAAACCATTGGTGAGCCTCAAAAACAGGAAGGCCAGATTAGAGTTTGCCAAACGACATCTAAAAAAGCCTTCACAGTTCTGGAATAACATCCTATGGACAGATGAGACCCAGATCAACTTGTACCAGAGTGATGGGAAGAGAAGAGTATGGAGAAGGAAAGGAACTGCTCATGATCCTCAGCATACCACCTCATCAGTGAAGCATGGTGGTGGTAGTGTCATGGCGTGGGCATGTATGGCTGCCAATGGAACTGGTTCTCTTGTATTTATTGATGATGTGACTGCTGACAAAAGCAGCAGGATGAATTCTGAAGTGTTTCGGCAATATTATCTGCTCATATTCAGCCAAATGCTTCAGAACTCATTGGACGCCGCTTCACAGTGCAGATGGACAATGACCCAAAGCATACTGCAAAAGCAGCCAAAGAGATTTTTAAGGGAAAGAAGTGGAATGTTATGCAATGTCCAAGTCAATCACCTGACCTGAATCCGATTTGAGCATGCATTTCACTTGCTGAAGACAAAACTGAAGGGAAAATTCCCCAAGAACAAGCAGGAACTGAAGACAGTTGCAGTAGAGGCCTGGCAGAGCATCACCAGGGATGAAACCCAGCGTCTGGTGATGTCTATGCATTCCAGACTTCAGGCTGTAATTGACTGCAAAGGATTTGCAACCAAGTATTAAAAAGTGAAAGTTTGTTTTATGATTATTATTCTGTCCCATTACTTTTGGTCCCTTAACAAGTGGGAGACACATATGCAAACTGTTGTAATTCCTATACCGTTCACCTGATTAAAGCACGTCTTGTTCGTTTCATTTCAAATCCATTGTGGTGGTGTATAGAGCCAAAAATGTTAGAATTGCGTCGATGTCCCAATATTTATGGACCTGACTGTATGTGTACCAGGAGAAGACATGGAAAAAGTACAGAGAGTCAGGAGAAAATAGAAGTAGGAAATATACAAGGGGGGGAGGTAGAAAAGTGAGTCCCCACAGACTTGGAGACAGGTCAGATGACGTGCTACAGGTGGACAAAACTGGCCAGATGTAAAGATGGTAAAGCATGATGATCCATGGTTCCCATGTTTTCATCTTTTAACTTCTGAAAGGATATGAAGGGGTTCTTCCAAGCTTTGGCTATAATTTGTTTTTGGCATCCAAGAATAAATGGGTCGCAAGTTTTTTTAATTTTTATGAGATAAACACAATGGACAATACAGCAGGACCAATTTGGCATCTTTGCTGGTGGTTAGATAGAATACCGTGTGCAGGAGGCCAAAGACCCTAGACTAGAATCAAATCATCCGTAGGACCTCCAAATATGAAGGGTGCTGCTTCGTTGGCCACAGCCCCTGATGCATCTGTCGCTGCAAGCGGGGTTCTCATGAGCTATTTGGACAGAGACCTAATACCACCTGAAATGGACTTTGTATGTTGATTAAAGGGTAGCCGTGTTAGAGGAACATTTCACTACTGTTGACTAGGCTTTGCTCCAATCCTCATTGAAGTCGCAAGGTTTTGTTCCCAATTGGCCACATAGGGGATAGATGATAGAGATTTACAACATCTTCAAAGTGGCGTAGAGGGCAGAGATGAGTCCAGGGAATGTTGGGATACGTGTTCGAAATTAGTTTTTTGAAAAGTGGAAGTGCAATATAGTCATTATCAAATGTCAAAGTTGTGTGTAATGGAAAGATTTCAAGCGGGGCGCATCATGTGGAGATGACCACAACACAAACACCCTTAGTTATTTCACACCTAATGGAAAGAAGGGGTTATTCAGAATTGGCAAAAGAGGTAGAAAGGGGTACGTGAGATTTTCTGTCTGTGTAGTAGACCGTATCCCAAGTTTTCAAGCTGTGCAACATTTAAGGGGCTCAGTGAATTTCCAAAGTGGAACGTTAGAAGTGGCATTTAACATGGAAAGTTGTGAAATTTGGGCTGCTAAAGTGTTTATTAGATGATAAATGTTATTATTTCATGAAAAAAATAATAAAGTACTCATATTCAGTATATTTAATGAATATTGCACAATTGAGCTTTAGATATTTTACTTTTTCAGTAATTCTTGTCACTTCAACTGCTTTATTGTACATGTTAATTGACTGAAGGGATAATCTGCATAACATTTCACAACAATTCTTTCTTTGACTAAGAGAGTACATTGGCAGATGGATTTGACATCCCAGCTCACCAGTGGGTAGAGAATGAGGAAGTGCTTAGAGCGTTGGGAGAAGACTCACTCGGTATCCCGCACTTTCCTGATCACTTCCAGCCTATGACTGACAATACAGGTCTGAGATCTCAGCCTGAGAGTTCCTTCTCTAGAAGGGATCCTGAATTCTGGAGTAATATATACTCTACAGAAAACGTGAAGAGGACGGCATCCAACGAGAAGAAAAATATCAACAATGACGATTCAGCCCAACTGAATGTACCCACTCCTTCCTGTAAGTATTTCTGCATTCTGTTACCTTGAAATGCATTTTGGCAGAAAAATATTCTCATATTAATCCAAATGTCAAATATTGTATTAAAGTCCTTAAAACCTAATTCCGAACAAAACTTTCTTTAGTTTTAAATAGAGTAGTGATGAGTTAGAACCTCCTATCCATTTTTTATTTTCTCTGTCCCCTTCACTTCTGTCTTCTGCTACTGTAATGGTGGTTAAGGATGCGGCTGTGCTGTCTTCCAGGATCTGAAAACAGGCTGCTCAGAACTAAAAATTCTTTAGAAGGTAAAACAGTCCCTACATGCAACAGTGAGAGTGTCTCAGTGTAACAGGAATCATCATTGTACTTGCAGATGGGAAATGTTTACTACTGTCTGCTACAGTTCATCATACAGTATAGTGTGTGTGTCTTGACCTGAAGTACTCTTGTTTTTAAATTGGATATCCACTTCAGTTCTGGAAGATTTACCCCCCTTCATGACTGGACCATTTTTTTGCTGTACAGTGCTGTTACTTTAACTGACAATTGAGCCATCATGCAACGCTGTGTATATACAGTATCTCACAGAAGTGAGTACTCCCCTTAAATTTTTGTAAATATTTTACTCTATCTTTTCATGTGACAACAGTGAAGAAATTACACTTTGCTACAATGTAAAGTAGGGAATGTATAGCTCACTACTTTACATTGTAAATTGTAAAATAACTCAGCACACAGCCATAAATGTCTAAACCACTGGCAACAAAAGTAAGTACGCCCTAAGTGAAAATGTCCAAATTGGGCCCAATTAGCCATTTTCCCTCATCTTATCGCTTTTACTCTGTCATATTGGTCGCTAGAAGCTCAACATGGCACCTCATGGCAAAGAACTCTCTGAGGATCTGAAAAAATTGTTGCTGTACATAAAGATGGCCTAGTCTATAAGAAGATTGCCAAGACCTTGAAACTGAGCTGCAGCACGGTGGCCAAGACCATACAGCGGTTTAACAGGACAGGTTCCACTCAGAACAGGCTTCACCATGGTTGACCAAAGGAGTTGACTGCGCGTGCTCAGCGTCATATCCAGAGGTTGTCTTTGGGAGACGTATGAGTGTTGCCAGCATTGCTGCAGAGATTGAAGGGGTGGGGGGTCAGCCTGTCAGTGCTCAGACTATACGCCACACACTGCATCAAATTGGTCTGCATGGCTGTCATCCCACAAGGAAGCCTCTTCTAAAGATGATGCACAAGAAAGCCCACAAACCGTTTGAAGACAAGCAGACTAAGGACATGGATTACTGGAACCATGTCCTGTGATCTGATGACACCAAGATAAACTTATTTGGTTCAGATGGTGTCAAGCGTCTAACTATAAATCACTGATTGCCACCATTAAAAATTAGCTCTCTGAAGACCTGCAATCAAGAGTAGTTGACCTACATAAGGCTGGAAAGGGATATAAAGCAATCTTATTGTATTTTAGGCACCCATCAGTCAACATTTAGACCAATTGTCTATAAATGGAGACAGTTTAGTACTGAGGCTCTTCTTTCTAGAAGTGGATGCCCAGTCACCCGCCTCCCAAGGCACAACACAGACTCAGTGAGGTAAAGAACAACCCACGAGTTACAGCTAAAGGCTTGAAGACATTTCTGGAACTGCCAAACATCCCTGTTCATGAGTCTACCATATTGAATTCTTCAAACTGGCAGGGTATCAATGACCAGACATCACGAAGAAAGCTGCTGCTCTCAAAAAAAAAAAAAAAAAAAAAAAAAAAAAAAAAAAAAAAACTATTGCTGTGCACCTTAAGTTTGCCAAAGAGGACCTTGGTAAACCACAGTGATATTGGGAACATTTTTTGTGGATTGATGAAACAAAAGTTAAAATACTTGGGAAGAATTCTCAGACATCCTACAAATATGTCTGAGCTGAAGCAGTTTTGTAAAGCGGAATGGTGAAAACATTTTTCCTGGATGTTGTGAAGGTCTGATCCAGTTCTACTGAAAGCACTTGCTTCAGGTCATTGCTGTCAAATAAATTGTGACCAGCTACTAACGTCAAGGGTTCACTTACTTTTTCCACCATCACTGTGAATGTTTCATGGATATGTTCAATGAAGATACTAAAAATTAGAATAGTTTGTGTTATCAGTTTAAGCACATTGTGAAATACATTTTTTATTTAAGAATTACAACATCGTGGCAATGCTTTGCTCACAACACATGTAAGGCATGCTATGAGAAGGCAGATGTCAGCTGTTGAATTTTTTTTTCCCTGGAGTTGTATCTTAGCAGTGAAATGGAAAGTGAATGGATTAATAAAGCTTATGTCTATATATTGCATACATGGTGGTACGTGTTTACATTGTATCATTTGTCTCTTCAGCTGAGAGCACCCAGTTGCCATGTGAGTTCTGTGAAGAGTTGTTCCCTCTGGAGGACCTTATCTTACATCAGGTACAATTATCAGATCCATTGCTCTGTCATACATAGCATCGATGCTGTGACTTCATAAGGCCTGTTGCACAAAGGAGTAAAAAATGCTGAGTGTTTTACTAATCTGAAATGAGATGCATTGTTGTCTATGGGACATTGCACACAGCTGGGTAAAGATCAGTAATACAGCGTTGAGTACAGAGCAGTAAAACAAACATGGTAAATTTTTTTTATTTGAGCCCAGTAATTTAGTCCCCTTGCACACGAGCATCATCATTTACTGATGTTTTACTCAGGAACTTGTGACACCTGTGTGCAAGGGGCCACAATACTGGCAATGAAGAATTTTACTCAAGTATACTCATCTATACACTTGCACACCTTTACTCGCCTATACTCAACATCACGCAAGTCTGTAAACGCGTGTGCAAGGGGCTGTAAAGCTGTAATTGGCTATAGACAGGAGATGACCTATACTGGCCACTTTCTACCAAAATGAAAAATAAAATTAAGTTTGGCAGCGCAAAACTTATTTTTATTTTTAATTCATTGAGGATTGTGGGAGCACTGTCTTTTTTGTTTCCAGCCATATGTTGTGTTGTTAATATTATCTAAGGGAGGTAGTTTCTTTGGTGGTAGCGAGGGATAACACACATTACCAGTTTAGTTTCTACCAGAATGGATGATCTCATATCTGATAACAGCAGATGCCTACAAATCAACCTCTCCCAGACAATTTCACCCACCATTCAACCTCTAATGTTTGCAAAACTTTGTTAGATTTCTGTTGTCGGCACATCATCCTCCAAAGGTAAGGAGAGCCAGGAGCATCTGGCAACTCTGTCCCTTTTTAATATGTTCTCTTAGTTGAACATGGCTTGTCTGAACTTGGCTGTACATTTTTGTAGTGTCATTAGCAAAAAGGGCTACCTGAGCACACTTGGATTGTACACTGTGCAGACAAATTAAAGGAACACTCTTTTTAATCAGAGTATAGCATCAAGTCAATTAATTTCCTTGGATATTGATCTGGTCAGTTATGTAGCAGAGGGTGTTGTTAATCAGTTTCAGCTGCTTTGATGTTAATGAAATTAAAAGGTGCACTAGATGGGTAACAATGAGACGACCCCCAAAACAGGAATGATTTTACAGGTGGAGGCCAGTGACATTTTTTCCCTACTCATCTTTTTCTGACTGTTTTTCACTAGTTTTGCTTTTTGGCTAGGGTCATTGTCACTACTAGTAGCATGAGGTGATACCTGCACCCTACAGAGGTTGCAGGCAGTCCAACTCCTCCAGGATGGCACATCAATACGTGCCATTGCCAGAAGGTTTGCTGTGTCTCCCAGCACAGTCTCAAGAGCATGGAGGAGATTCCAGGAGACAGGCAGTTACTCTAGGAGAGCTGGACAGGGCCGTAGAAGGTCCTTAGCCTATCAGCAGGACCGGTATCTGCTGCTTTGTGCAAGGAGAAACAGGATGAGCACTGCCAGAGCCCTACAAAATGATCTCCAGCAGGCCACTGGTGTGAATGTCTCTGACCAAACAATCAGAAACAGACTTCATGAGGGTGGCCTGAGGGCCCGATGTCCTCTAGTGGGCCCTGTGCTCACTGCCTGGCACCAAAGAGCTCGATTGGCATTTGCCATTGAACACCAGAATTGGCAGGTGCACCACTGGCACCCTGTGCTTTTTACAGATGAGAGCAGGTTCACCCTGAGCACATGTGAGAGATGTGAAAGGGTCTGGAGAAGCCGTGGAGAACGTTATGCTGCCTGTAACATTGTTCAGCATGACCATTTTGGTGGTGGGTCAGTGATTGTCTGGGGAGGCATATCCATGCAGGGACTCACAGACCTCTACAGGCTAGATAATGGCACCCAGACTGCCATTAGGTATTGGGATGAAATCCGTGGACCCATTATCAGACCCTACGCTGGTGCAGTGGGTCCTGTGCATGGCAGTGCCCGGCCTCGTGGCGAGAGTATGCAGGCAGTTCCTGGAGAATAAAGGAATTGATACCAATGAATGGCCCCCACGCTCGCCTGACCTAAATCCAATAGAACACCTCTGGGATATAATGTTTCGGTCCATCTGACGCCGCCAGGCTGCACCTCAGACTGTCCAGGAGCTCAGTGATGCCCTGGTTCAGATCTGGGAGGAAATTCCCCAGGACACCATCCGTCATCTCATTGCTGCATCCTTTCAGAGTGTCTTTAAAGCGGAGCTCCACCCAAAAGGGGAAGTTCCGCTTTAAGGACTGCTCCCCCGCTCCCCATTAAGAGATTGGCACCTTTGGGGAGCGGGGGGGGGGGGGGGGAGTGGTTACCCGGATTTGACAGGTACCCGCTCCCACTTCTGGTCCGATCGCCTAGGCAATCATCGGAAACGGAAGGTGTCCTCCTACCCTCCCTCCCTGTAGTCTTTTTGGACATGTGACAGGTCCCAGAAGACTACAGGATCATTCACAAAGCGCAGCACTACTCGTGCATGCGCAGCGGCTACCCAGCTGTGAAGCCGCAAGCTATTCTAGCCGGGTGCTCACACTGAAGATGCCGGCCTCCTGGAATCCAGGACGGCCGGTGAAACGGGCTGCAGGGGACACACCACGGGACCGAGGGACAGTTAAGTGGCTGTTTTTTAAAAGTTAGCAGCTACAGTTTTTGTAGCTGCTGACTTTTTTTTTTTTTTTTTTTTTTTTATTATAAGTCAAGTGGAACTGCTGTGATTTCAAAGTGTTCCTTTAATTTTTTTTTGAGCAGTGTGCTTGTATATCTGACCTCCCTGCTATGTTTAGGGAACCCTTAGTGCCCTTTCTAATCATTGTGGTGGTGTATTGGCATTTGCACATTAAGATGTAGTTTAGGTTGTGTTGCATTAAGGCAGAAATTCATGTGAATAGTCTGCCTAATGCACTGCAAAAGATACCATTTCTGGCAGTGCACTGCAACATGCGTTGTATTATGCTGTTCTGCAATGCAAATCCATCAGCAAAGTGCATTGGGCTCACGAATATAACATGCGTTTCCTCAATGCAGTACTGGTAATGGGCTCTTAAAGGACACACATCGATATTTAATAACGTTTGAAATGGCAATACAGATCTTTAGCCCTGGTTCACACTGATGCAGTGCGACATATCGCATTTGATTTGCACAGGAGCCACACCGCATTCCTGTGCAAATCACATGCGATTTCTGTGCGGTGCAATGTGAGCCATATATTTTGTAGTGCAGGACTTTTTTTTCTTTTTTTTTTTTTTTTTTTTTCTGTCCACACCAGAATTGGATCACAGCATGCATCTGATTTTGCACATCGCCCCATGTTTTGCAAACAGATTTCGGGGGTGTTTTAGCTTAATCCGCCAGATGATTTACCCCTCTTCCTGACCAGGCCATTTTTTGCATTACAGCGTTGCGTTACTTTAACTGACAATTGTGCAGTCATGCAACGCCACACCCAGATGAAATTTGTCCTGTTTTTTTCCCACGGATTGAGCTTTCTTTCGGTGCAGTTTGATCGCCTGTGCGGTTTTTATTTTTTGTGCTATAAGTAAAAAAAAAAGACAATTTTGAGAACTATATATTTTGGACTTTTTGCTATTTAACATGTCCAGTAAAAAAAATTAAAATCAAATTTCGGCATAAATTTAGGCCAAAATGTATTCTGCTACATGTCTTTGCTAAACAAAAATCTCAGTAAGTGTAAATAATTGGTTTACATGAAAGTTCTAGCGTTTACAAATGGCGGTATAAACACTGGGATTTTTTTTCACTACTAGCAATGGCGGCGATCAGTGACTTTTTCCGGGGCTGTGATGGGCATTCTGACACTGGGGGGGGCACTAACTTGGTGTCACTGACATCCTCGGTGACCCGGCAGGGACCTGGTGATTGACACCCCCGGCCGTGAACGTATATATGTGATTTTTGCGCACCCATGCCGCCGTGTAGCAGTATATCTGCCATGCAGTGGGTAAGCTGTTAAAATACACACCTGCAGCAGTTCGCATGAATGGGGTGCAATTATGATACATTGCGGGAATCGCAGAGAAACCAGTTTCAAATTCCACACCGCATCAGTGTGAGCCACTTAAACACCAAGTTATGTTTTCTTTGGACATGTATTGTCTGATTGTGTTTGGTAATCAGGCTGTAGATTACGCTTTAGCTTTCTTTGATTGTAATGTACTGTCATTTTGAATACTGCCTATTCTTGTACCAGTCTGTACTAAAAGGTAATAATTTCTATATACAGTCCATGTGCAGTTCTTTTATTAGAAAGCAGTGTTTCTGAATAGATGGCACACTAAGTGTATTTCCACTTTTGCAGCCAAATTGGGATAGCACCTATTCTATATTTGTTACTTTTTCCCATTAACATAGCATAAAAAAAATGCTGGATACCTTTTTTTAATTGCTTAAAAAACCCTGCATGCTCTCCCTGCTTTTAAATATTTAGTTGAATGCTGCGGATTAAGAATATAATTAGTTCTGTCTGTGCTGTTTTTGGTTCTTCATTATCAGCTGTAAATTAGACTTGATCACTATCTGTCCTAACAAAGGGTTAAAAATTAAAAGGCACTTGTGACATGTAAGTCCCACATTTTTGTAAATACACACAGCTCTTAAACCATACGTTACCTGATAAATGCAAACTATGCCCAAGTCTGCCATATGCAAATAACCTGTGGTTATGTAACTCAATTTGCAATTGCATTTACAGATCAATGATTTTTAGTGTCACCATCTTGAGACAATGTAATTTACAGTGTGGGCTTTGTAGCTTTTGGCAGCACTGCTTCAGCTGGAACAGGAGCAATCTGGGGACAGTGCTGGGGGGAGAAACACTATATTGAGAGGGGGGATAGGTGATAAGCAGTGATGCGCTTAGGTGTGTTCTGAATCGCATGAATCTGAGCTATCCCACCGGAATGTGTCAAAGCTGATGATGGAGGCATTCCTCATTGCGCAACTCTACTTGCATATGTGCAACTGTGGGGCAAGGAATGCCCAGCCACCTATATTTGAGGTCGGATGTAGCAGCTTCTTGGCGGGATGGATCAGGTGGATTCGGACTCATAACTAAAAGCATATGTCACACATATAGGTACGAAAACCTACAGTTATATTTCTCTTGATCAAGTGCATGTCCTTGCATTTCTACAGTCCACAATCATTCGATTATCCTCACAGGGCTTTATGCTGTCTGTTCTCTCTATCCAGTTTGATGCTATTACCATATATAGGCTATGTGCATAGCATGGACAAATGTTTTTAACTACATTGTCTTCTAATGATGTTTGGCTGTTTTGTATGTTCACTTTGAGAAGAACTGATTCTTCATGTGATCCTTGAGTAATTTTTTGCATTGCAATTGATGCACTATTTACTCTGCTTGGGATTTAGTAATACCTACTTTTTGCAGTTTGGTCTTGACAACTGCTTTTTTTTTTTTCGGATTCGGACTCCTGTCTAAACAAACCTGAGCTCATCACTACTCATCACCCACCCTCACCTCAGTGTAGTGCTTTCCCTCTAGTGCTGTACCCAGCTTCCTCCTATATCCAGCATTGTTGGTCTTCTTCGGGCAGAATGACAGTGTTGTTCTACCCTTTTCCTGTGAGCCCAGCCTGTCTTTGCCACAGTCCCTGGGGGTGTGCTGTGCTGACAGTACTTCAGGAGTGAGTGCCGCTCACAAATTTTTATAGGCGCATCATTCATTTGAGAAGGATTTTTTCAATTTGCACCTAGCAATCCTGCCAGTAACACACTTCCTTTCTTTCTTTGAGTTACAATGCTAACTTATTGATCAGTACTTGTGGAGGAGCAGTATTGTCACCGTATGACTACAGAACACCTCCATCCTCCCCATCTCTAGAACACGGGGGGGGGGGGGTGTTTTAAGGTTCACATATTCAGAGGTAAGACTGTGCAAAGCTGGAACAATACTCACTTCTTTGAATAGTTCCTGTGGGCACATGCAGGCTGCTTAGAACTTGGAACGTGGGTACGAAAAGTGTTCTATAACCACTAAAAAAAAAAAAAAAAGTGTGCGTTTTTTGTCCTGATTCTTTCTCTTTTTTTATTTTTTTATTTTTTTTTTTTATTATTTCAGTCTGGATGCAGACTTTCTGCCACATCCTCCAATAGAAGCCTTTCACCCAGTCCTAGAGAAAATGTCAGATCATCTTCCCCACCTGTCCACGGTTCACAAATGGTCCTCCTGCCCTGTGAATTCTGTGGTGTACTGCTGGAGGGAGAAATCCTCTTCCATCACCAGGTATAGTGGAAATGAGTGTGCCTAAAGTGTGCGTAAGATTTTTGGTTTAGATTATTTATCTGCATGCATATTTATCGCTGTTTCCACACCACTTCTGGTGTTGCGCGTTTGCATTGTGGTAACACATCTTGCACGTTAGTGCATTGTGTCGCCATTCATTTTGAATGAGCTGGAGCTGTCTGCAGCTGTAAACCTGTATCTGCAAATACAGCAGTTACCTGTGGTTGGGGACAGATGTCTGCCCTTAGATATATTGCGCCCAGGGGCAGATATCTGTCCCCAACAATTATTATTAGTATACAGTATTTATAAAGCGCCAATAGTTCGCTCAGCGCTGTACATTACAAAGGGGGACAGAACATGTGACAGAACAATACCAATACAATGCAAAACATGAGGGGATCGAGGGCCCTGCTCTTTCAAGCTTACAATCTAGGAGGGAGGGGATGGTGGCACAGGAGGAGATAGCTGTGGGGGATGGAGTGGTGGGAAGAGTGGAGGAGGTCAGCAAGTTAGCAGGGGGTGGGGTAGGCTTCCCTGAAGAGATGGGTTTTTCAATAGGTGACTAGTATCAAAATGTGTAGAGGCCTAGCGAGCGCATATGTGAGCAGCTTTATTTTACTTTAATAGGTGACTAGTGAACATGCGGACACATGCAGATACCTGCAGACAGCAAATAGTCATTCAGTTGTACAGGCTGAGCAGCCACAGCTATACTTGCTGCACCATAGCTGTTTAGTACATGTGAATGAGGCCTTCCACCATGGTGCTGAAGAGAGTGATGTATGCAGTAGTTCTAGTGTCACCATGCAAGACACAGTAAAGTCCTCAAATTGCCCATTACAGATGTAAATCAGCCCAACTAACCTTTTACTGAAGTATTTTTTTTTTTTTTTTTGTCACTCTGGGCTAATTTTCTCATATGGCAGAGTATGAAAAGTATTTTTTGATTATTTGACCTGCTGGTGAATACTGTGGCAGCATAGCATTGGTGCAATTATCTGTAATCCTTGGTTGCTTACCGATTTCTGGTGTGTTTTAGGATCAGTGTGAGAAGTGTCCAGACTCTGGAAAAAGCTCTCCATTTATACCAGCACTACTTCCCGATGATGTAACATGTGAAGAACAGCAATACAGAACTTTTGAAACTCCAGCTATTCAGTCCCGTCACAGTCTCACAACAGGTTAGTGGCATTGTGAGGATACTTTAGCTGATGAGAAGAACCACCTTTCAACCGTTCACAATAGCTTCAGTTTATTCTAATTCAATCAAAATGTACAAAGAATGTATGATAAATGTCAATAAGAGACTTTGGGCCTCTCTCAGTTTTTTTTTTTTTTTTTTTTTTTTTTTTTTTTTTTTTTTTTTTTTTTTTTTTTTTCCCCAACTTGGATAGAGTAATCCCTGTCAGCCCCCCCCCCCCCCCCCCCATCTGTTTCATTAGCGAGACTTCTCTTCAATTCCTGCCCCAGAGTCAAAACAGGAATTGAGAAGAAATCACTCCAAAGTGAGGGATTCCATGGTTGTCACCAGACAATGTCCACATCGGAAGATTTCCCCACTATTGCTGTCCTGGTGACAACCCAAAATATGGGATTTTCTGTTATTTTCACTTTTGATGCTAATGGTAAACAGGACAGATAGGGAGGATGAATCTCCCTAATGGGGACACAGACACCAATAAAAACCTGACAGGTATTCTAAGCCCTCTCCATTCGATCCAAAACTAAAAAAAAGTTTTACCATTAGCTACACTTTTAAATGCCAGTTCTTAAATTGAACCTGTACATTACTTCTGTTGGGAGAAGTAACAGATGCAGGCTACTCTGGAACATAAGCAACATGTCTTGCCCTACTTTTATTTATGGGGTAACACGTGACATACCTTCATCTCCCCATCAATGCGGTTCTAGGTGAATGCGCAGCCAGTGACCGGGCATGAGTACCCTGAGATGGGAATGGGGGCCGTGTGTACAGTTCCTGTGTAAGTTTCAGCTTGCTCAGCAATTCAAAACATCACAGTAATCTGAGGCTGCCCAGGTGTGATATGAAATTCCAGAGAGGCAAGTAGAAGAGAAGTACATGTTTCTCATGTTCCATAGAGAACAGTGAACCTATCACTTTGCCCAATGTGGGCAAGTACAGGAACTGGTAGCAGCCACTTGGAATCAATTTTGTGCTAACCCAGCTTCATTCAATTCTATTTGTTTGCTATGAAGTACCACATTTGGTAATAATAAACAACAAGGGTTTTTGTTTCCTGCTTATGTTGTATTTTTTCTGTTTTAGAACTAATGTCTCATGGTTTACCCAGTCGGTGAATGCCACTAATGTCAGTTTGGTAGATTACTCACATCTACATATACTAATGATACAGATGCCACTAGTTCTAGGATCATGAGGAGACAGCGTCAGATTTCTGTTTAGCAGAAGATGCCTATACTAAATACACTTTGTGTAAAACAAATTAAAATTTTGTTCTTTTACCAACCAAAGTTGATGCCGGTGTGGACACTAACCGATACCTAATAAGGGAGAATGCAGCCAGACCGCCACGTCCTGCGAGACCAATTTCTCATTTACACGAAATGCAGGTTTTAGAACATTGGTGGGTTTGGACCAAGTTGGTCCAGAGTCTCTCTCTTTTACTTCATGAACCGTTGCAGAGGCTGACTGTGCTGTTTGCGGTATAACTAAGGCAAAACGTTTTTCATTAAGTTTTGGATAGAGTGGAGATGTTTTAGAACACATCAGCCTGTCTCTCTCTATCTGTTCTTCCCTCTTTCTCTCCTGTCTTCTCTCTCTCTCTTTTCTCTCTCTCTCTCTCGTTCTCTCTCGTCTTTCTGGGGGTCTTCTCCGCATTCTCCCTCTGCACATCTCGTTTCTCCTCTCTTCCCTCCCTTTTCCTCCTCTCCCCACGTTCTCCCTCTCTCGTATCTCCCTCTCCCTTTCCATTTCTCGCTCTCTCTCCTTCCTCTCTCCCTCTCTCAGTTCCTCCTCTCTCTCTCTCCTTTCTCTCTCTCCTCCCTCTTTTCTCCCTCTCCCGTTCTCCCTCTCTCGTTCTCCCTCTCTCGTTCTCCCCCTCTCCCTCTCTTTTCTCCCCTCTCTCCCTCCTCTTTCGTCCTAATTTCTTCCCTCTTCTCTTTTCTCCTCTCTTCTCGTTCTTCCCTCCCTCTTACCCTTCTCTCGTTCTCCCCCCTCTCTCGTTCTCCTCTCTCTCTCTTCTCCATTTCTCTCCCTCTCTCTTTCGTTCTCCCTCCTCCTCTCTTCGCCCTCTCTCTTCCCCCCTCTCTCCTTTTCCCTTTCTCTCTCTTCTCCCTCTCCTCTCTTTCTCGTTCTCCTCTCTCTCCCTCTCTCTTCTCTCTCCTCCCCTCGTTCTCCCTCCCTCTCCGGAGTTCTCCCCCTCTCTTCTCTCCTTCGTTCCCCCCTACTCCTCTCTCTCCCCCTCCGTTCTTTTTTCCTCCTCTCTCCCTCTCCTCTCTTTTCTCCCCTCTCTCTCTCCTCTTTCTTCTCCTCTCTCTTCCTTTCTTCCCCTCTTCTCTCCCCTCCTCTCCTCCCTCGTTCTCCCCCCCCCTAGTCTTTCTCCGTTCTCCTCCCCCTCCTCTCTCTCGTTCTCTCTCCCCCTCTCCCTCTCTCGTTCTCCCCTCCTCTCCCCTCTCTTTCTCCCTTCCCTCTCTGCTTTCTCTCCCTTCTCTCTCCTTCTCTCTCTCCCCTCTTCTCTTCTTCTTTCTCCTCCCTCTCTCTCTACTCTCTCCTTCTCTCTCCCTTCTCTCGTTCCCCCCTCTCTTCTCCCCTTCCCTTCCCCCCTCTCCCCCTCTCTCCCTTTCCCTCCCTTCTTCCCCCTCTCTCTCTCCTCTCACTTCTCCCCCTCTCTCTCTCTTCCGTTCTCCCCCCCTCCTCCCTCTTTCCCCCCCCCCTCCCTTCCCCCCCCCCTTCCTCTTCTCTTTCCCCCCCCTCTCTCTCCCCCCCCCCTCCTTTCCTAACCCCTCTTCTCCCTCTCTCTTCCCCCCCCCTCTCTCTCCTCCCCTCCCCCTCCCCCTCTTCCCTCCCCCCCTCCTCTCTCTCTCCCTTTCCCCCCCCCTCTCCTCTTCCCCCTCCCTCTCTCCTTTCCCCCCTCTCTCTCCCTCCTCTCTCCCTTCCCTCCTCTCCTCTCACCCCTCTCCCTCCTCTCTCTCCCTCTTCCCTCCCCCCCCCCCCTCTTCTCCCCCCTTCTTCTCCCCTTTCCCTCCCCCTCCCCCCCCCCTTCCCCCCCCCCCTCCCCCTCTTCCTCCTCCTCTCCCCTCTTTTCTTCTCTTCCCCCCCCTCCCTCTCCTCCTACTCCCTTCCCCCCTCCCCCCTCCTCCCCCCCCCCTCTCCCCCCCCCCCCCTCTTCTCCCCCCCCCTCTCTCCCCTCCCTCCCCCCCCCCTCTCCTTCTCCCCCCCCTCTCTCCTCTCTCCCTTTCCTCCCCCCCCCTCCCCTCCTCATTTCCTCTCCCTCCCTCTCTCTTTCCCCTCTCCCCCCTCTCTCTCCCCCCCCCCCCCTCCCCCCCTCTCTTTCTCCACTCCCTCCTCCCCCCCCTTCCTCCCCCGTTTTCTTCCCCCCCTCCCCTCTCTTCCCCCCCCCCTTTTCCTCCCCCCCCTCCTTCCCTCCTCTCTCCCTTCTTCTCCCCTCTCTCCCCTTTTTTCTCCCCTCCCTTCTTCCCCCCTCTCTCTCCCCCTATCCCCCCTTCTCTTCTCCCTCCCCTTTCCCTCTCCCCTTCCCCCTCCCCCTTTCCCTTCCCCTTCCCCTTTTCCCTTCCCCCCTCTCTCTTCTCCCCCCCTTCAAAGTTCTCCCCCCCCTCCTTCCCCTCTTTTCCCCCCCGCCTCCTCTCCCCTCCCCCCTTCCCTCCCTCTCTCTCTGCCCCCCCCTCCCCTCTCCCTCTCTTCCCCCCTCTCCTCTCTTTTCTCCCCCCCCCCCCCTCTTCTTTCCCCCCTCTTTCTCCCCCCCCCCTCTCCCTCCCTCTCCTCCCCCCCCCCTTCTTCCCCCCCCCCCTCCTTCCCCTCCCCTCCCTTCCCTGTTCCTCCTCCCCCCTTCCCCTCTCTCTCCCCCTCCCCCCCCCCCTCTCCCCTTCTTTCCCCCCCCCCCCCCCTTTCTTCCCCTCCCTTCCCCCTCCCCCCCCCCCCCCTTTCGCCCCTCCCCCCCCTCTCCCTCCCCCCCCCTTCACCCCCTCCTCCCCCCCTCCCCCCCTCCCCTCTCCCCCTCCCCCCTGTCTCCTCTCCCCCTCTCTCTTCCCCCCCCCTCCTCCTCCCCCCCCCTCTTCCCCCCTCCCCCCCCTCTTTCCGTTATCCCCCCCCTCTCTCTCTCTCCTTCCCCCCCCCCCCCTCTCCCCCCCCCCCCCCTCTCTCCCCCCTTCCCTTTTCTCCTCTCTTCTTCCCCCCCCCCCTCTCTCTCCCCCCCCCCCTCTCCCCCCTCTCCCCCCCCCCCCCCCTCTCCCCTCCCCCCCCCCCCCTCTCTCTCCCCCTCTCTCTCCTCCCCCCCCCCCCCCTCCCCCTTTTCCCCCTTTCTCCCCCCCTCCTCTCCGTTCCCCCTCTTTTCACGGTTTCTCCCCTCTCTTCGTTCTCCCCCCTTCCCTTCTCGTTCCCCACCCCTATTCCCTCTCCCCTTCCCTCTCCCCTTCCTCTCCCTCCTCTCTCCTTCTCCCCCCCCCCTCCTTCCCCCCCCCCCCCCCCCCTCCCCCCCCCTCCCCCCCTTCTCCTTCCCTCTCTTCCCCTCCCCTCCCCTCCCCCCCTCCTCTCTCCCCCCCCTTCTCCTCTCTTTCCCCTCTCTCCTTCCCCCCTTCTCTCCTCTCCTCCTCCCTCCCCCTTCACCCCCTCCCTATCCTTCCCCCCCTCTTCCCCCTTCCCCTTCCCCTTCCTCCCCTTCGTCCCCTCCCCCCCCTCTCTCTCCCCCCTCTCCCCTCCTCCTCTCCCCCCTTCCCTCCTTCCTTCTCCTCCCCTCTCTCTCCCCCCCCCCCTCTCCCCCCCCCCTCTCCCCCCCTCTTCTTTCTCTTCCCCTTTCCCTCTCCCCCCCCCCCCCTCTCTCCCCCTCCCCCCCCCTCTCTCTTGTTCTCTCCCCCCTCTCCTCTCCTCTCCCCCCCCCCCCCCCCCTCTCTCCCCCCTCTTCTCCTCCTCCCCCTCCCTTTTCTCTCCTTCCCCCTCCCCCCTCTCCCCTCCCCCCCTTCCCTCCTTCCCCTCCCCCCCCCTTCCTCTCTCTTCTCCCCCCCTCCCCCCCCTCTCTTCGTTCCTCTCCTCCCCTCCCCCCTCTCCCCCCCTCACCCTCCCCCCCTTCCCTCCCTCCCTCCCTTCCTTCCGTTCCCTCCCCCCCCCTCTTCTTTCTTCCCTCTCCCCTTTCTCTCCCCTCTCCTTCTCTCCCCCCCCTCTCTCGTTCCCCCCCCCCTCTCCCTGCCTTCCCTCCTCTCTCTCCTTGCCCCCCTCTTTCTCTCCCCCCTCTCCCTCCCTCTCCTCCCCCCCTCCCCCCCCCTCTCCCCTTCTTCTCCTCCTCTCTCTCTTCCCCTTTCCCCCCCCCCCCCCCCCCCTTCCCCCTTCTCCCCTTCCCTCCCCCCCCCTTCCTCCCCCCCTCCTCCTTCTCCCCCCCCCCCTCCCTCCCCCTTCCCTTCTTCCCCCCCCCTCCTTCCCCCCCCCCCTCTCTTCCCCCTCCTCTCTTCCCCCCCCCCCCCCCCCCCCCCCCCCCCCCCCCCTCTTCTTCCCCCCCCTCTCTTCCCCCCCCCCTCTTTTCTCCCCCTCCCCCCCTCCCCCCCCCCCCCCTCTCTCTCCCCCCCCCTCCCCCCCCCTTCGTCCCCCCCCCCCTCTCTCTTCCCCCCCCTCCTCCTCCTCCCCCCCCCTTCCTCTCTCTCTCTCGTTTCTCTCTCCCCCCCCTCCCGCACCCCCCCTCTCCTCGTTCTCTCCCCCCCCCCTCTCCGTTCTCCTCCTCCCCCTCTCTCTCGTTCTCTCACCCCCCCCTCTCTCCCCCCCCCCCCCCTCCTCTTTCTTCCCTCCCCTCTCCCCCCTCTCCCCCCCTCGTTCTCTCTCCCCCTCCCCCCCTCTCTCTCGTTCTCCCCCCCCTCCCCCCCTCCTCTCCCCCCATCCCCCCTTCCCCTCTCTCGTTCTCCCCCCCCTCTCTTCCTCTCTCTCGTTCCCTCCCCCCCCCCTCCCTCGTTCTCGTTCTCCCTCCCTCCCCCCCCCCTCCCTCTCTCGTTCTCCCCCCCCTCCCATTTGGCTGCGGGACAGGAAGTGAAAGGTAATTTCCACAATGGGACACAGATGGCAAAAAAAAAAAAAAATCTGACAGATAATCCTCCTTTGCTCTATCCAACATGGGGGCGGCAGTGGGATGAGAACTTCCCATCCCACTACCCCCGGAACACAATCAATTTGGGCTGAGCTCACCCATTTACAGGGAGCTTTGTATTCTATGAATGAATGTAAAGATTTCTGTGATTGACAGAGGTGGGCTGATGTCACAAACTCTGCCTTGGTCAATCTTGTACTTTTTCCAGGTGACTGCAAAGTTCAGGCAAGTGTATCTGTCTGTGCAGGGTTGACAACACTGCTGAATCTTTAGAGCAGTGACATCATCCCTCTGGTATCGGCACTGAGA